TCTATGTATAAAAAACATAAAATTTCTTTTTTTTAACTTATTTTTTAATTGATCTTGGCGGCGGGGAGAGAGAGTGAAAGAGGGGTTGACTTGTCGTTCCACTTATTCGTGCACTCATTGGTTGCTTCTTGTACGTGCCCTGACCAGGGATCGAACCCGCAACCTTGGTGCACTAGAACAACACTCTAACCAACTGAGCTACTTGGCCAGGACCACATGATATTTCTTTTAAAAGGGGTTGTAAGCTGTATATTTTATGATGTGTTTTAAAGAATGAATAGTGTATTGTAAATATATTTCCACGTCAAAAAATATTTTAAATCAAAATATTTAAAATAGTTCCACTACATTTCATTGTATTCAATGCCCTCATACTTGGAGTTTCAGGTTTTTTAATTTTTTAGGATTATAAACAATTGTATGGCATGCAGTCATTTCTTCTGATAAAATTCCAGTAATGAAATGGCCAACCAAAGGGCAAGCTTCAGTGAAAGGGACCAAACCCACAGAAACACCTGAAATCCATGCCCTCCTTCTGCTCCATTGGCTCTTGGGCCTTAGCACCCAGGAGGCATAAAAAAGGGGAGAGAAGGGAGAAGGGAGGAAAACAGAGTCTGGAACGACATGGGGAGAGGATTTTGACAGTTCAGATGTCGGTGGAGGAATTTAGCTGCAACGCTCATGAAAAAGACTGAAGGTGAGTGGAGCAAGATTATTTTGAGAGGGGTTTGAATATAGTCCATGTTTGGTTTTTTTAAGAGATCTCATTAACTACCTAATTGTTTTTAATGTCCTTTTGGTTAAAGGACAATTGTTTCTCTCAATGCAATGCCATGCTGAGGCTGACTTCAGGAAAGGAGTAGCTGCTGCTGCTTTCTGCAATTCCCTCATATTTTAAAGATCATATATATGCACACATAAATATATGATCTTTATGTATGTATATATATGATATAAAATATCTTACAGAAAAAGTACCAATTTAGGTTACCATCAACACTGCATGAATATACATACAAATGGATGGACAGATGAATATATATGAACAGATGGATAAACTGTCAGGGAGTATTTTGGGGAAAATTTAAAAAAAAAACACATTCTTTGCAGGGAGTTAGCAAAGCTTTGAGCTGTCTAAAGCAATTGCTTCTATTCCAGATGCTGCTCACTAGGTAATAAAGGAAGGAAACTCTGATATGACCCAAGATTCTAAAACGTTTAACTGTGTGTGTCTAGGACTTACCTTGGGGAAAATTTAAATTCTGGTGATGTCTGATTTCTGCTTTTATAAAGACTAGATTTAAAACAAAGCTAGAGATCTGTGAGTGAGGAACTATGGGAAAAAAAAAAAAAACCCCAGTAAGATCTTGAAGTTAAAATAGTTAGGGACCTAGTGTTAGCCCAGGATGAGGAAACTGAGACCCAGAGAGGGTAAGCTTCCCTGGGCTTCTCGCTGGTCACAGACCCTCCTGTGCTCAGCCCCATCACTGTCTAATGCTGCTTCTATCCCATTAAGCGGGGTAAGAGTGAGTTGTGAAAGGGAAGGGTCCTAGGGAGACAGGGCAGGGCCACCATCTAGGGCCGATTAGGTATCAAGACTATGTCACGTGTCTACATCCATGACAGAACCTAACATCTAGAGCTGTGACTCTACGAAGTCTCAGCATCAAGGTCAACCTGCTTCAAAGGCAATTTCATTAGTAGAGGTCACGAACTTGACTTGAATCCTAGGGCTAGGGCGCAGTGATCCATAATCCATCATAAAATGCAAGAATTATCTCACTCTGATGTTCCCTTTAAATATTTCTTAATGGAGAATCGTGATGGGCCAGATATAGGAAGAATGAATCACGCAACACAGTAGTGGGGTTGCTTGTCAGCAGGGGAAATGGATGAAATGCTTTAACAACACCCTTAAATGCACCTTCAGAGTGCGCGCCAGTGCAGCAGGCAGACCTGCGACAGCAGGTGACAGCTGACCCGGAGTGTTCAATAGACTTTTAGCGAAAGTTCTAGGCTTCAGCCAAAAAAATGAGGGCTCGAGTGGCTGTAGCTGTCCCTGGAAGAGCGCTCTTTGGCTCTCATCACTTCATCACACCTGCAAACGCTGGAAATAGTCATGAGAGGCGACATTTCTCAGTATCAATGACTGAGTAAGGACACATGGGCGGGTTAGAGAGCCTTGCTCCTCTGACTTCCCTGCTTTGTCACTTGGTAAAGAAAAGAAACGAATCACTTGAACACAGAGGAAGATAGCTTGAATGGCAGTCTTTCTGCCCCTGGACTGACTTGTTAGATTTGGAAAAGCTACACCAAGTCCTCCCAGCTGGAGAAGTAGAGAGGGTTTTTCAAATACTTTTTCAAGTTAGTCCTTCAAAGGACTGCATTCCTTACAACTCCATTCTAAGGGAGAACATTGTCTTGTTTCTAATCCCCATAGCTCCTAAGAATGGGATTCCCTACTTCATTCTAAAAGCAATTTCACACACACAGTATATTTTAGTGTGTTTGATTGTGGGAGGCATTGGTATAACCTTTATAAAGGAGAAGGCAGCAGGACCCAAAGATGAAACAATCATTAGACTCATGAAGTTAAAAACCTTCTGTGGGGAATAAACTGATCCATCCTGTGTTCTTATAATTTTCCCAGTCCTTCCCCACCTAATAGTCTGAGAAATCTTTAAAAATTACAGCTTACTTTGCTACCCAGAATCTTCCAATGGCTTTCCATTGTGCCTGGAATAAAATCCAACCACCTTGCCTTGCCCTCTGAGATCGAGGAGCTACAGCTCTCTCAGCCTCTGCAGCCTTAGCAGCTGCTCTTCCCCAGCCTCAGTTTCTCTGCCTGAAATCATCTTTGTATAGCCCTTCACGGGGTGGCTTCTTGCTCATTTTTCAGGTCCCTTATCACCTATGCCCTCCCCAAAGAGGCTGTCCCTGACCACACGCTAACCCGATACCCATCAGACACTCTACGGTAGTGCCCTGTTTGCCTTACTTCCCTCGTACTCTCACTGAAATTATTTATTTCACAATTGAGCCACCAGTATCTAAAACAACATTGGCACATCGCAGGCGCTCAATAAGATGTTGTGTAACATGTGAATTCTCACTTTACGCAAAATTTTGCTCAGAAGGAATTGGACTGAAGCTCGGTATGAAGAAATGATAACATATGTCACATGCATTGGCCAACATGGCACGTAATGGCATGTGTTAGCATTTTGAAATTTAGAACCAGAAGTGTTAGAGGAACTGTCCTAGTACTTTGGGGGAAAAATAAGGAAGGCAGAACCAAAGACAAAATTAGTGTATACTATGTAAACCTGTGTGGTGTTTAATACACTGATCCATATACCACCTAGTACAGTGTCTGGCACATACTAGTACTTCAATACATGTTTGTTGAGTAAATGAGTGAATGAATGAATGCCTATGAGCTAACAGTCTACAAATGATTAGACCAAAGGTAAAAACAAAATGATTAAACTTTAACTCATGGGGAAATTTTGGTGAGAAGGGAAAAAAGGCAATTCACCAAGGCAATCCTATGTTAAACAGAGCTGGCTTTGGTACGATGACAATGGAAGCAGAGAGCTCCCTCCTGCATCCTGCTAAATGGGGGACATGCCCCCTGAAGGTCATGTCACCTGCTCAGTGAGGGGGGCACTGCACTCCCAAGCCTGAGGTGACCAAATAGGTATCAACTCCCATTACTCAAATAACTAGCGAGTGCCTGACATGATAAGTTTGCACTAGCTTCATGTTTCTTAACACTTTTATTCTTATTAGACAATATAAACTGAGTTATTACCTGAAGTGAGGCAAATGTTTGAATCAAAATGACCATAGTAATACTTTTAAGAAGCAGTCAACTTGAAAATAGATACATTCAAAGTTCTCTTTTTTAAAAAATGCTAAATTGAAATGATAAGGGAAAACAGATACTTTTGTATTTAATAGAAATAAAATACCTTCCCTAGAAGAGAGCAAGTTAAAACTGATGACATATTCCTTTAACTTTTTTTATATGTATATTACTATATAGTCTTAAATGTTTAATATAGTCATACTGACAATATTTACTTGATAGCTTCTGGGTTTGAATATTTTACTTTAGGGTAAGAAAAATATTATTTTGTATTTTCTCCTAAAACTCCTTAGATTTTTACATATTGATTTTTAACTCACCTGAATATTTTTGGTTTAATGTGTGAAATAGGGCTCTATATTTGTTTTATTTCAAATAATAGTAGTCCATGCACCTTATTTGTTGAATAAGCCTTATTTTCCCCTTTTATTTGAAATACCAATTTAATCATATATTACATTGTTAGACAGGTACATACATTTGTTTCTAGAATGCTCATTTTATTTTATTGATCTATTTTGTTATTTCTATGCTGGTGTCATGTTGTATTAATTGCTGAGACTTCATAATGGACTTAAATTTTTTTAAATTTTATAATGGATTTTGACATTTTAAAAAAGAAAAAGAAAGAAGGAACTCCCACCTTTTTGCATAAACATGGAGGGAACTGGAGGATCTTATGCTAAGTGAAATAAGCCAGTTGGTGAAAGACAAATATCATATGATCTCATGTATAAGTGGAATCTATTCAACAAAATAAACAAACAAAACAAACCACAGGCATGGATACATAGAGCAGACTGAAAATGACCAGAGGGAATGGAGAAGGAGGAAAAAAGAAAGAATTCAGAAGTGGCATTTCCAGTTTCAGCCTCTTAGACAAGTGACAGAGTTTCAATTCATCTGCAACCTAGATGGTGGAAAGCTATAACTGAGAACATGGGCCATTGGAAGCAGCATTCTATTATTTTTAAAAAAGTAGTGACATTTTCAAATATGTCTATTTAAACATTAGAAAAGTTTTCAGAGGACCATGAACAATTTGTGCAAGTGAGTCATAATAATTATTTAGGGTCATGATGGTTAACATAACGCCACCAACAGGAATAATATCCGAATCGATGCTTACCAGGCCACCACCAATGACAGCGATTCTTTTCCCTTGAATGCTGGATGGATCCATGACGGCTGAAGTGTCTTCCATAACCCCTAGCTCCTGTCACAGAGAAAGCCGTAGCTCCTACCCACAGACTTGCCCAGCCTTTATACTGCAGTGTTTGAACAGCCTAATTCCTCTTCAACTAAGAAGTAGCATTTAACCCCTTATCAGCCAAGTCTGCTTCAAGAAAAAAAACAAATTCATTATATTAACTGAATTCTGAAAAACCCAGCCAAGTGGAAACACTCTCTCTTTTACATGTAGACACCAAATTTTTGAAGCACAGTCTTACGGCTTTTCTTCTTTTTCTACCACATGTATTTTCTTACTTTCATTTTCATTCATTTCCAGCCTTGAATGAAACTTCCCTTTACCGACGTCCCAGAGCATCTTATTTTTGAGAGTCAGATGGCATGATTTCATAATTGAACTATTCATTGTTTTTGTTATTAAGACCCGTCGGGTCCCCTAAAAGGACTTCACAGATTGTCTATCAGGGAAAATGTTTTGCCTACTCTTAATATTCTCCCAAAAAGGTTTTGAATTGTATAAACTGATCATATTTCTTTCCCATTCCCCACCCCCTTGCCCAGCATCAGACACTAGAAACTTTAGAATCTAATTTGTGCATTATCACTAGGGGAGATGATTAATAATATGCCTCTTGTAAACTCAATCCTGGCTTCATACTATCTCCAATTTCTTTGTCTCCTTTAATTTTATTTTAAATACCTATTAGCATTTTTTTTTAACATGGTGTGGTTGGTGATAAAGTAACATGAAAGGCGGTCCTTCTTCGCTTCCTAGAGACAGCCGGGAGATTCAGAACGGTTTTTCTCCGGTAAAGAGCTCGAGTTAAACATCGTTCAATAGTGACCCCTTGTGGATACGTATAGAGTTACTAGAAAACTTTTTTGTTAGGTATTTTTTAGTCCACATGATACGAAATTCAAAACGCAAAAGGGTATATGGTGAATAGTCATTCTTATAACACTATTTCTTGGCCACCTGTTTTTTCTGCCCATAGACAACCACTATTTTGGTGTTTTTTACCCAATTCTACAAGCATCTCTCTGTGTCCTTTCTCCCTTCCCTGCCTTCTTTCCTTCTTTCCTTTGCATATAGTAGCAAGTTTGACACACTTTCTACATTTTTTTTTCATTTTACGACACATAGCTCACTAATTGTCCAGCATCAATATATATAGAAGAGTTTCATTCATTTTTTTAAATTATGGTCTATAAAACAACAAAAGTGAAGTGCACAAAACACAAGTGTGCAGTACAATAACTTACTACAAAGCAAGCGCCCATGTGACCAGCAGTCAAGCCCAGGAAAATAACACTGTCAGAACCTGTCACGTGCACGTGCTCCTTGCAGTAACTGTCACCCTGCCTTTACCTTTCCTTGCTTTTATTTATACTTTTATTGCCATACTTGCACCTGTAAAACAGATTTGCCTCTTTATAAGCTTTACTCTAAATGAATTCATGGTCGTTCTTTTTCTTCTGCTTGCTTTTTTTTCTCATCACCATACTTCTTAAGATCCATCTGTGTTGTTGCATGTGGCTGTGGTTCACTCATTTTCATTGTCATATATTATTTATCCGTTCTACTGTTGATGGACATTTGGGTGCTTCCATTTTTTTTTTTTAAATATTGTGGCTAGCGCTGCCTCTACAGCCAATCATGTGTATACACTGTAGAGCACATTATATATAAATATCTTTAGAATTTATATGCTGTTAATGTATATTTTTAACCCTTCTAACTGAACCAAAGTTATGTTTTGAAGTATTGTACTAACTCTTACTTGACACAGGGAATTTCTAGTTTTTGTAGGTCCTGAGGGTTTGTCACTGTACCTCATTGTCATTTAATTTGCGGTCTTTGTTAATGAAGTTGAGCACCTTTTCACTTGTTTCTTCCCAACTTGCTTTTCTTCTTTTGCACAAGTGCTTATTGTTTTTTGAGCAGTCTGTCTTTTTTTATACATGACATTGAATATGAGTTTTATTCTTTATATATATTACAAATATATTATTTTCTTGTAAGAATGTAGGTTTTATTTGTGTATGTGTCACCTATTTGCTATCTTAGCGGTGTCTTTTGATGAAAGGATATTCTTAGTTTTAACATATTTGAATTCATCCATTTTTCCCCTTTCTGGTGAGTACTTTTCATGTCGTCCTTTATAATTTTTTTTATAATCATCAGATCGTAAAGATATTCTTCTTTGCTATTTTCTAAAAGATTTATCATTTACTTTTTATTTCTGGGTCTATAATCAACATGTAGTTCATTTTTAGTCATGCTGTGACATAGGAACCCAAATTTTCTTTTCTTTTCCAAGTGAATACCCAATTTCCCCCAGTGCTCCGGAACAAAAAGACTTTCCTTGTCCCACAACTGTCTTTATCGTAGGTCCAGGTTCACATATGTGTGGGTCTGGTTCTGGGTTTCTGTTCTATTTCATTTGTTTGACACTTGCTTATACCAGTACCAATTCCACAGCCAAATTTCTATGGCTTTAAAATGAGGCTTGTTAGCTTGAGCAATGCCACCTCCCTTGTTCTTCTTCATAATTTTCTTGACTATTCTTTTAGTGCTTTGCATTCCCATCTAAGTTTTAGAATCACTTTTTCAATTCCACCAAGAAAAAATAAAAACAAAAAAGCTCTGTTGAGATTTCTTTAAATGGGATTGCTTTGAAGTTATGACTATTTCTGGAAAGAATAACATATTTAGAATGTTGAGTTTTTCAATCCATAAAAATTATTTCTTTCTCCATTTGTTTAGGTCTCCCCCAAGTTCGCTCAAAGTTTTATATATCCTCCTTTTATATTTATTTCTAGATTATATATAAGTCCCCCATTTAAAAGTTTAAGAGTTTATTAATATTTTTTATTTTACTGTAAATGATACCTTTAATTTCATTTTCAGCTGTTGATGATATGTAGAAATACGATTTATTTTTGTTGAGTTTATACCCAGTAACACAACAGAACTCTCTTACTAATTCTAAAAATCTTTATATTCTTTTGTTTTTACTATACTGATAGCAATTTTTTTCTTTTTTATTGATTAAATGATTGCCTTACTGTTCTGGCTAGTAATTCCAGTACAGTGTAGAATAGAAATGCATTTAAGTTCCAAATAAATGGGATTCCTAGACATCCAATTAGTATTGATTTCTAGAAAAATTTCATTGTAGTCAGAAAATCCACTTTATATATGTAAAAAAAAAACTATAGTGTTATTGGTATTTATTTCCTCAGAGTTTCTGTCCACATGGAACAAAGCACATTTAAAATTGCTATGTGACTGGCAAAGTAAAGCTTTTATTATTATAAAGCAGCCTCTCTATCTCAAGGAGTGTTTTTCGCCTTGAAGTTTAACTGTCTGATATCAATATTACCTTTCCCTATTTAGTTAGCATTTACATATTATATCTTTTTCAACCATTTGATTTCAACTGTCTTGTATGCTTATATTTTAAATGTGGCCTTTTCAAACGTTCAGCTGAGTATTTTTAAAATCCAAGGGGAGCATATGTACAGTGTTCCAGAACACACTGAATGTTTCACCTTTCTCTACATGTATTTATAAATTTAACAAATCAGCATTAGTGAGAGAGATTAAGGGATATAATATTTGCTTTGTTGCTTTCATCATTCTCATTCTTTTGACATCAACAGGCTATTGACTTAACTTCGTTCAATCACCTCAGTTTGCTCAATAACTGTTTATTCATTTCACTAGGCTCTTTGCACCTGCAAGTGCACTGCCGGCATGTTCTCCTCCTGTCTTTGTTCTCAGTGTTTAGCTCTCAGATCAAATTCATCATCCTTAGTCTGATCACTCTATCCAAAAAAGGTACCTATCCCATCATTCTCTAAATAAGTTCCTGTTTATTTTTTACTGTATTTACCATTGTATGAAATTTACTCTTATGAAACCTGGTTTATTTATTTACTTATTTGATGAACAAATATTAGTGAAAGTGAAGGGGTATCATTTTGAGGTAGAATGGTCAGGATTTGTTAGTAAATTGAGTGTGTAGTGTATGCACATGTTGGGGAATCAGAGCAGAACTTAGGAATCAAAGACTTCCATGTTTCTAGCTTGAGTGACTCGTGGTACCATATACTGCATATGAAATGATGGTATGAGGATGGTAATTGAGTCTAATCCTTTTGAGGTATATTAAGTTTGAGATATGAGTACTGAGATAGATAATTAAAATATAAATATTAAGTATACAGTTGGATATATGAATTTGGAACACAGAGGAGAAGTCAGGGCTGGAAAAATAAGTTTGGAGTCATCAGTACATAAGCATAAAAATGGTGATTGAAAACTGTGAACGACTAACTCACCTAGTGTGAGAGAATTGACTTAGAAAATGGATAGAAGGTGAGAAAGAGAACAGCATGTGTATTTCAATACCTTTTACATGAAATTTTAAAAATACACAAAACAACTGTCTATACTTTATAAGAATACACATGAATAAAATGATACAGAATAAACATATTGTAATAGTTTCTTAGGGGTATGAAAGGAAAAGAGGTGTAGGGGATGAATGGAAAAGGAAGTAAATATTTCGATAAAATAAGAATGGATCTTTTACTCTGTAACGTGCCATGTGCCATCAAGTTAGGATGCCGGTTAACTCAAACCTGAGGTTCACTAAAAAGGTTGTGTTTAGTGTAAAGAAGAATAAGAAAAGGTCGTGTAGGACTGAGCCCTGGGCACTTCCACATCCCCGCGTGGGGTGCTGGAGAAGGAGGCTGCCAAGGAACAGCCAGTAAAAAGCGGAAGAGAGAGCTCTGACTATGAAGGCCAAGAAAGAGATTTGGTCAAGGGGAAGCGGTGTCAGCTGCATCAGCGCGGCCAAAAACAGAGAGAACTACCTGTTGGATTGGCGTCATGGAGGCAATTGGTGAGTTTCACAAGAGCACTCTCCGAGGAGTCACGTGACAGAGGGCAGGAAGTTGGAGGAGAACCAGGTGAAGGTGGTGAGTAAATATGTCGTGGAGATGCGGAGGTAGTTGAAGTGGGACACCAAGTCATGGCAGTTGGTTGGTTGGTTTTGTT